TTGGTATCACAGACTCCTTTTGCCAGTCTGGTGAAAACAAACCGATCCTTTCTCAGAATATAGTGACTGATAGTTTTATGACACTCAACATCATTTCTTGAGGTTTATAACTTATGCCAACCCTGTAATTTATCCTCGCAAAATAGCACCCCTATACTTCAAAAGATCAAGGGCACTACATGGGAGATCTCCTTCCGTTTGCTATTTATTCTGTGTTGCCAGTTGTCTAGCTATGTTGAACAAGAATCTTTACGCAACAGGACTGGCTCTACTGTCATTTCAAAGTATAGATGGGCATAAGCCTTTTTGAGAAAAGAAAGGGAAACAGATTATTTTGCTATTGGAGGGACAAGTATTAAAAAAATAGTGCACCTCTGTCATCTTGACACCGGGGGGCTCCTTGTCTTTGGCGGTGTGAAACATTGACGATTTCGTCTTTTCTACGGGATTGCACAACATGGATTGCTTCCAAGTGCTTATCAAGAGCAGTAGAGATATTGGCATGAAGGGGAGAACTTCGAAGACGTTCCATCTTTCCCAACAGAGTCACAACCTGAAAATATTAAAAGATAAAACGTTTGTGGTTTTACACTTGCCACTGAAAAAAGATGTCCTTCCAATATTTGTAAATATGCAAATATTGCTGAAGGAACTTGCTATAAATCTGCAACTAGAAAACACTTATTTAAAGAATATACAAAATGTGTCAGTGGGGCCACAGGAGCTTTTGGATTTGTACAGTGGGCCTTCCCACAAAAGTAGAAAAACTGCAAATGAATAAATCACTCTCTTTAACGTGAGAGAAGACATCTTTAGGACTGCCAGTGTGAACCTACAAAGACCTAGAGAAGTGTTCTATAAGGAAGTTGACCATAGTCTCTCACTGGGAGACCTAGAGATTGCATGTTAATCAAATCCGCAAAAGTCAAACCCACAAATGTGGAGGGCTGATTATATTTCTCAGATGAAGTTATTTATCTATAGCAATGATTCTCAATCTGTAGGTCCTCAGATGTTTTGGCCTTCAACTCACAGAAATCCTAACAGCTGGTAAAGTGCCTGTGATTTCTGGGAGTTGTAGGCCAAAACACCTAGGAATCCACAGGTTGAGAACCACTGATATAATTATCTAAATATATTCCTAGAGCTTACTAATTTCTTCCTAAACTGGAAAATGACAACTAAATTTGAACTGAACTGAACCTTATAAAAATGTGAGTTTTCAGGTTATTCCAAGCAATCTAATATAGTACAGAATCCTAATTTAGTTGCATTGATTAGTAGTTTAACTAATGGACAATTATTTTTACTTTAATGGGTCTAGAACCCAATTTTCTGTCTCATAATCCTTCAGGCCTGTTTATACTGTCAAAAATGGCTCAAACTAGAAGCATCTGTGTTCCGTTTAAAAAGCAAAGCACTGTTCCTGGAAGCATTCATACACACTTTTTTGCTGCCAAAATGGTCCACATGAGTCAGAAGAGGATGAAAGACTATAAAAACAAACAGTAAAAGAGATGATACCATCACAAAATGTGACTGACATTTTTTTTTGGAAATGTACAGGATGTATTAAAAAGAAGGACCTGATCTGAAATCGCTATATCTTTTCAACTATGAACCACTCATGAATGAAACTTATCCCTTGAAAAGGTGGGGCATAGAGCCTTTTTCAGCGCATGAACAGCCCCTAGCCTCAGCCATTCACAAGATGGCAACCCACAACATGAGGCCTAATGAGATATTCTCCAGATTTGTCTCTGGCTCAAGGTGCTTAGTAAAACTTGATAACTCATTAAACTGTTTGTAACTCTTTGTGTCATTATAATGTGTTGCCATCGTGAAATATACTGCTTTGAAATAGGGTCCATCATTTGAACTAACAAAACAATCATGGGAAGTATTAAACAATCCCTCTCTACCAGGAAGCTTTCCTTGTAAAAAAAAAAAAAGCAGAAGAGTCTCCATTTCACATATGTATGTACAATGATTTTTGGTTTTTTATTTTCATTCAATTCTTCTGTGTAATCTTTTCCAGCTGTCAGTTCGGCTTATATCACTTTTCACAAAATATTTATTATTTACAGTATTTGTATACCGCTTTTCTCACGGAGACTCAAAGCGGTTAAATATTGTATGGAATCAAATTCTTTTTTTGTGAATATGATTAATTTCTCTCAAAAAGATTTTTAAAAATTTTAAAAGTACTGTTAAGGTCTCCTAGGTTATTTTTTAAAACAACAAGAAAAACAGCCTGCTATGGGCAAGACACCTTTCTGAGGTGGTCATGAAGTAGGCCTTTCCCCTAATACCTTCTCTACTGCTGACTAACCTAGGAATACAAAGGAGGAAGTGAAAGAAAAAGTGTCAGTCTATCTTAAAGGAAATTGGTAGAAGTCCACCAAGGTCCTGTTCCTTGGGATTAGGCAGGATTGAAACCAAGATGAAATATACACAACAGGTTTTTATAGGTGCATTTACAGAAGTAGAGGAGAGGAACAACCACTGCAAAGATTCCTTGCTCCATGGTATGAAAAACATTTTCTGCTCTCTTTGAAATATCTCAGATTCAGAGCCCTGATGTCCAGGTGAAGCAGACATAGATGCACAGATATGGCAGTGTGCAGTATAGCCAGATAAAACTTGGATCTGGAGGGGTTAAAAAACTGTCCAGAAATTGTATTTTGATATTTAATAACTCACTCTGGCTTGTTCTCGTAACTGATCTACAATCAAACGATCAACTCTGGATGGATTTGATGTCAGTCTTGGAATTGGAGTGTTATTAGTACTGGATACCTTCTTCCCTGGGTAGTTCTTTGCAAGAGCTGATTCAGTCTGAAAAACAAAGCAATCATTTTTGTGGTAAAATGTTAGTTTTATACAAAAGGTTGTTCATTCTGTTCTTGAATTCAAATGAAATAATTGCAAATATAGCCACTGAACAAAAGCCCAATCTTTTGGAATTAAACCAACAAAAACAAAATGCCTTGATTTTTTTCGTACAATATTCAACAATTCATTTCTACTTGTTACAATTTTAGATGTTTCAAAGAATTTCAGACAGCTTGGAAATAATCCAAATCTTCAAGAGCAATAAAAACATACTTAAATAAAATGTGTTGTGGCTAAAAGACTAAGCCAAACAAAGTATGCTTTATTTTCTTTAATAAGCATCTAAATTAGTAGTTCCATGGTGCTCATTAATGTTTTCATATTCTGTTAAATAATACAAAGAAAGATTACATAGGGTACAAATGAAATCAGCTATACTCAACATGAACTTTTCCTTACTTAAAACTGCACATTACTAAAAGGCTGCTCAAATGGGACTTCTGTACAGCTTAGAACTTTACATGTTGTCAGAATAATACTCAACGTCCAAACAAAACAAATGTTAGTAATTTGTAGAAACAGCAACTAACTAGTTGAAATAGGTTAGCAATTAAATTGGACATTTAAAAGAGCAATAAATTTTTTTAAGGTTTAAATTGGAATATTAGTTTTTATCATTGTTTCTAGAATTACTTGATTGACAATGCTAATTTCTACATTTCCCACCTTATTCATTATCTAAAGCTTCCTTTTCTTGGATTTTTTTGTTAGTCCTTCAGGGTGGGAGAATTAGGACAGTGTACAGATCGCAAAACACAAACCATATGTTTTTCTTCCATCATTACAGTATGATCATTTAATTGGTTCCAAGATTTTAAATCACAAAACAGTAAAAGTCCTACAGATATTGTGGACTGCTACAATGAGAAATGCGGATGTTGTTTCCAAAAAGTTCCAAATCCAAAAAAAAAAAAGTGTTATGGGTGACAACACATTTTAGATAGTAATACAATGCTATGGGGGTTGAAAAGGGCGAGTACAAATATTTGAAATAAATTAAAATAAAAACTATCAAAATGTGTCAAAATCACTTTGGTATAAGACTTGGAAAATTCAATTTTATGGCAAAACAATGATATACTCAGCATGGGGTTTTTTTCGATTCTTTTAAAACTAATCCAGATGGATTTGGTACCTTTTTGGAAACATGTTCTACAAAGGAATACTAGAGCAAAATTAAGCTTGAGGTCTACTGGAAGCCAAGATGACTAAAATGAGACTGCCATACTTTGGTGATGTAATAGGAAGCCACGACTCACTAGAAAATATAATAATTCTTAGTAAGGTAGAAGGCAACAGGAAAAGAGAAAGACCAGGAGTCCTCGAACTTTTTAAGCTGAGGGCCAGTTCACTGTCCTTCAGACTGTTGAGGGGTAAAACTATAGTTTGATGAAAACATGAGTGAATTCCTATGTACACTGCACATATCTCATTTGTAGTATTAAAGAAAGACAATTAAAAACAATACAATATTTAAAATGAACATTTTAAACCCACATAAACATACCGGTATTTCAGTGGGAAGTATGGGCCTGCTTTTGGCTGATGAAATAGTTAAGTTAATTAGGATTGTTGTGTGCCTTCAAGTTGTTTCAGACTTAGAGCGACCCTTTAGGGCAGGGACTAAGTAAATGATCCAGGAGGGCTGCATCCGACCCGAAGGCTTTACTTTGGGGACTCCTGTTCTAGATAGATAAACTCATTCATGGAAGCCCTGAATCTGCAAGAACTGAGCAGGGCTGTTGATGATAGCATGTCTAGGAAGTCTCTCATTCATGGGACTGCTCTAAATTGAAGTCAACTTGGCAGATGTTAACATTAGTAAGGGAAACCTGGAAGGAGGTAATCTTTTCTGCATCCAGATGCTGTGTTCTTCACCAGACCCCACATGCAAGCGCTGATCTTTCCAAAGAAGCTGAATTCTGAAGCTTTTAACTATGGCTTTAATTTTCAATTTTTTAAAAATAAGTTACTGGTATTTAATTTGTTCTTGCTACTTCTTGAGCAATCACATATATATATTCTCTCATATATATATATATGAGAGAATGGTCGTGCATAAGAGATTCTAAAGCATCAGGTACTTTCACTGGCCTGAGTGTTGTTCATCTCAAAGATAAAATCTGTCCCCATATATGTATACTTCACAAGATGAGATTAGTTCCTTCCTGATCACTACCTTCACCATTGCTTCAATACAAATATTTCTAAAAAAGGAAACACGCCTGCTGCAGGAAAAGAGGACAGATTGTCTACCTCCATAAAAGGTAAAGATTTCCTCTTGACATTAAGTCTATCTAGTTGTGTCCAACTGGGGGTAGTGCTCATCTCAATTTCTAAGCCGAAGAGCCGGCATTGTCCATAGACGCCTCCAAAGTCATGTGGCCAGCATGACTGCATGGCGTGCCACTACCTTCCCGCTGGAGCAGTACCTATTGATCTACACACATTTTGCATGTTTTCAAGCTGCTAGGTTGGCAGAAGCTGGGGCCAACAGCAGAAGCTCACCCCACTCCCCAGATTCAAGCCACTGACCTTTTAGCCAGCAAGTTCAGCAGCTCAGCGGTTTAACTTGCTGTGCCACCAGGGGCTCCGTCTACCTCCATAGATGGCCACTAATTATTTTAAAACAACCTGATAACCTTCTTAATACTTATGGGAGGTTCCACTTGTAGAAGATCAGTTAGCTGACATACCTAACAGAGTGTTGGCATTTAAAACTAATATTTTAAAATATTAAATTGTGCAGCTTTTCATGGCAGGCATCCAGTCCACAATGTTTCACGGATGCACAGAATAAAATGGGAAGTCTCCCTATTTTCAGTGTTCTGCCCTCTTTTTAACAATATCTCCGAAACCTCTTCCAATAAAAGTAATGTATAACAGGGCAAAGTTAATGTTTTTTTTTAAAAAAACCAGGGTGACGCATACCAGAAACAACATTAAGAAAATAATTAAAACAAATCAAGCATTTTAATGACAGGACAGAGGGAGGCAGCTGGTTTTCAATAGAGAGAGAAAAATCAAGGCACCCCCACCTGAACCTTATTTTCACAGATTATTTTTCCACAAACTATCAGTAGCCTATGGCATTTCCTCTCCATGAATTTAACATTTCTAGAAATGTTGCATCTCCTATCTATTAATATCTAAGAGATTAATATATAATTGTTCAGACATGAATCTCTTAGATAGGAGATGTGACCTGGATGGGTCAGCAATCTGACTCACTGTAAATGCAGCTTTTTATGTTCCCAATTTGTTAAATGGTTTACAGTTTATAATTTTTATATACCTCCAAGACACAAACTGAGTCTTCTGAATAATAGCACACACACCAATGCATGTTTTCAATCTCCCGAGGGACTTTTACTGGTGCTATGGACAAATGTCTTAGTGAAAAGCATGTGTTGGATTCATAACATTATCCCCCAAGCAATATTTTACTGCTCCCTACTTTACTGTTACCATCTATTTCTACAAAGTGAAGCAAATGGGTGATGACAGGTTGGATGATAGTAGCATCATATTACAATTGCTTACTCAGAAATATAAGTTTAATTAACGTTATTTCCAGGTGTATATAACCACAATTGTTAACAATTAAACTGTGCTCCTTGTCTCTACTGAGGCCACCCACTGATAATGATGCCTGTGCTATTAGAACCTCATTTTGGGTTCCGTGTCATAGCCCACTCAGCATAATAAAACCTTTGAAGCTGTCAAAATAATGTCACAATACATTTTCTAATGAATTCCCTCCTAATCCGCACAGTTCTTCACTCTTACCTTCTTCCGTTCTTTTTCCAAGGCTCTCCATTGTTCATAACATTCTTCCAATCTAATATGAAGCTCACTGGCTGACCCACTCCGAGATTTCATTGGTCTTTGAAATCCAAATGTAGGCATGAAGCCAGTGAAAGAATTATCTCCATACATCATGTCATTAAAATAAGGATAAAGATGGCTTAAATCATCATAGGAGAACAAATCATAGGAATCCACCATAGGAATGACAGAATGTCCAAAAGGATGAGTGGATTTCAAAGGAAATCGGTTTGAATTAAGTTGGGGAACACTTGGGCTGTGTCTCAAGTCACCCATCATGAAACTGTTTGATAAGCAAGAAGTTTGAGCGCGATTCACACGATTACTGATGATGTTATTGTCTCCACTTCCTTGCCTGTGACTAGTGAAGTGGCCTTGAGTCTCCAATAAGTCTTGGTAAGTATTCTGGGACAGTCCTTCTAGTTTTTGCCCTTCGTCTGCATCATAATGTCCATTTTGTGGCTTAATTGGAAAATTGTGTTTGTTTGCATTTTCTATGATACCATATTGCTGTGAATAATTATCACAAAAGCCATTTGCTGTCTTAATTTTTTTGTCAATAATCGACTCAAAAAGGCTTTCTTCTCCTACCTTACTCAGTCCTTCTGTATGGCTGGTGGACTGAACTTGGTCTGTATTACTGCCATCGTTGAAATCAAAATTGGAAAATACTGTGGGGGGTTCTTGACAATATTTCTGAAGCAATAAATTATTATTTAAAGTAACATTGGTTGGTGGCAACTGAGAAAAATCATAAGAATGACTGGAACCTTTGGAAGTAGACAAATGATTATTCAACTTTATCAAGGTGCCTTGATTCCGAGCAGGAACAGATGAATTGTTTTTAGTCTGTATGTTGATCCATGTTGGCCTTATATTTGTGCCTGATGAAGTTGATACAGGATTATTTGATAAGATATTCAGTGATTTGAAATATTCTGAATTTTCTGTAGCATTTGTAAAATCGCCACTCCCTGAGACTGTGTGAGACTTTAGGGGGAAATCTGCTTTTAAACCGAAGTCAGGGGTAAATGAATTTTCATTCACAAACTGCTTTTCTGATATAAGTCCTGAGGTTTTTGGAAATGTAAAATTCTGCTGTTCAGAGGAGACATCTTCCATTTTCTTCTGGATAGCTGTTTTATTTTGAAAAAGTTTGCTATAATTATCTGTGTCTAATGCTGGTAGTTCAGGCGTTCCGGATGGTAATTTTTTATTCTCTTGCATACTGTAAGTTGCATTTTTACTATGTTTCCCTTTATTGCAATGAGAATAATCCAGGTATCTACTAAAATCAGCACTTTCACCATATCTAGTAAATTGTGAAAGAAGCATTTCAGCTCTTTTTTGTTGCATCTGCGCATCATGTCCCTTCGGACTCACTTTATCTCTTCCATAAGGGTAAGTATCTGCTCCTGATTCTTTTATTGTTTCCAAAAGACTGGTCTGTGGGGTAAAACATGGTTTCACATAAGAGTAGTCTTGAAATTGTGATGCTTTTGAATTCTCATTGGTCTGAATACTGTAACAGCTGACATGATCATTCCTTGAAGGGTACAGCCATTGCTCATCAAGGTCTATATTAGTGAGCCCATTGTAAAGGTCATCCACTTTCTGTTGCAAACTTACAGTACCAGTATGTAAATATTGCTTTTCAGATACTGGTAAATTTTCTCCTCCATAAAAAGCTTGTTGAGGAATGACTCCATCTACTGGCCTTTTTGTTTCTGACAAGTCAGGATGCTCTGCAAATCTGGTTGTGTTCACAGGCCATACAGATTTTAAATTGGAAGCACAGGCCCTACAAGAATGAAACACAAATGGTTGTGCAATTTCTTACTTGGTTTTTATTCCATTAAATTATTCTTTTACTGTTTGAATACTTTTAGCACTAACACACTCTAAAGCACACTTTAGTGTCATTTAAATCAGAAACCGAGACTCACATATACAGAAACATTTAAATCAGAAACCGAGACTGACAACTACTTCAGATCAGATATAGTCAGGATTTGTGTTTGTGTGTGTCAGGAGCGACTTGAGATCAACTACAAGTCACTTCTGGTGTAAGAGAATTGGTTGTCTGCAAGGATGTTGTCCAGGGGACGCCTGGATGTTTGATGTTTTACCATCCTTGTGGGAGGCTTCTCTCATGTCCCTGCATTGGGAGCTGAAGCTGACAGAGGGAGCTCAACCCGCCTTCCCTAGATTCGAACCGCCGACATATCATCAGTCCTGCCGGCACAAGGTTTAACTCATTGCACCACCAGGGGCTCCCAATATTCAGGATGAGAGACTGGAAAAACAATCCTTCAAAGCTCTTATGTTTTTTGGTTCTTGTGGGGTTTTTTGGGCTATATGGCCATGTTCTAGAGGCATTTCTCCTGACGTTTCGCCTGCATCTATGGCAAGCATCCTCAGAGGTGAGGTCTGTTGGAATTGGAAAGGGTTTTTTAGTTTGTATTATCTATGTTTTTAGTTTGTATTATTTAATATACTTGATATAATGTTTTGAATAATGTAATATTCTGTCTAAAACACAACTGTCAAAAATTTAACTTTCAGAAAAATATACATCATTGCCTTTGCAGGCTTCCATTACCAGCTGATACAATATTGTTTTTCTAAAGGGTCCAAATCTTTGACCCTGCAGATATTTTACAATACAAGTTACATTAATTTATCACTGAGTCATGCTGAGTAATATTGATAGAATTTGTAGGCCAAAACATCTGGAAAACAATATTTCTACACAAGAGCAATGGAAAATGGATATGTATGTTAGTACAATCTACGTCTAATGTACTAACCCTTCAGCAAAATATGATTGTGATTTATCTTGCTCTTCCAAGATGTTAGATACAAGTCCATATAAGTCTGTTTCACTACCATAGTCACTTCTTTCTGCTTGAATCCTAAGATAAATAAATAAAGATTTTATAAAGATTTTTGTCTACATTCAAAGGTTTACTTTTCTAAATCTTTTTGGCTATATTATTTCCATAAAGTATATAGGCATATATTCTGAAATTAGAGCCTTTCATAATATCTAACAGTTTTGTAGGATGTCTAAATAATATTGGTGTGGATTATGATGATATGTCCAACTAGTAAAAAAGAATGAAGAAATAAGATACAATGTGCTTTTTTCTACTTGATTGTCCTTGCTCCCTAGAAACCATCATTGTAAATTTTCAATATTTCTAATATGTTGGACACCAAGAAGCATTTTGTTACCTCAAGTTAAACATTCCCAGACAAGTATGAATGTCAACATTTGTTCATGAACAGAATCTACAAATGGTTAAAAAATTTACATGTTCCACCTCATATTTGTCTGAATGCAATTAGAGTTTGATTCCACATAAGATATTCATCGCATTTATAAGCAAATCTCTGGGAGAATACAGAGATTTTGGAAAAGATATGTCTTGAGGAAATTACAGCAATGGCTATTTTAAAAAATCCTCCCCAATCTCAAAATCTCCCAGAGTTTTTAAACATCATGATGCTTCACCAATGTGCTTAAGAGATGGGGATATGAAAACTGCAGTTCAAAACATCTGGACGATACCACCAGCTAGAAGGCTGCATCTCTAGAGACTAGAACACAGAACAATGGATTCAAATGGTAGGAAAAGTAATTCCACCTAAACATTAGGAAGAACTTCCTGATGGTAAGATTTGTTTGCAAGTAAAATATGCTGCCTTGAAGTGTGGTGGAAACCCCTCTGGAGGTTTTCACACAGAGGCTGGGTGGCCATCTGACAGGAATGCTTTGATTTTATTTTCCTGTATGGCAAGGGTTAAACTGGATGGCCCTTGTGGTTTCTTCCAAGTCTATGATCACAGAAAATGAATATGCTTATAAACTCTCAGAGTGAGAATGTATCTTCTATTTTTTATTTTTTTAAAAAGGTTCCTAATGTAATGTGCCTAAACAAACATCAATTTCTTAAATTGCAAGGTACCTCATTACTGCTATTATTACTACATCTACAATTACCGGTATTTTATGAATCACAGCTTAATATCAAAATTGTATTATATCAATAGCCAATAAGCAGACAGAGTGACTTGATAATATCTAAAAAGTATAAATTAATGGTACCATCAAAATACAAAAGAAAATGCCAAAACAGAAGAATTTTAGTTGCACACATATGTGGATTTGTTTCCAAAAGGTACCAAATCCATCTGAAAAAAATTAAAGGAACTGAAAAAAATCATGCCATGGATATGCATTATTTTACTATAAATGCAGTTTTCCAAGCCCTGTACCAAAGTGATTTGATACATTTTGATAGTTTTTGGTTTATATATAACATCTACTCCTAGCCAAATATGTGCTGCCACCTATAACTTAGTTTTTTTAATTGGGGAATTTTGTACCTTTTGGAAACACACTCCATAAATGTGTGTTTACATAAAACATCTAGATGTAATCTCAATCAAATCCTTGTATGTTAGTGCAATCTCTGACAGAGTAACCTGCTCCTAGTTCTTACTAGTAATGTCAACAAATTATTTCAAGTCAACTTCGAAAATGAACTTGAAATGCCACAAATTTCCATGTACATAGAAATCTGCCACTCTTCGTACACAAAGCCACTGTCACCATCCAAGAAATGTCATGGAAACAGCGACGGGAAAAATTCTCCCCCCCCCCCCTTTTCTTCTACTATGGCCTCCTGCACTGGCTTTAAACTAATGGAGCGACAAAACAATCTGTGATGGGATCTAAAGAAGAGCTACAGTTCTCACAGTTCTAGCAGCATTTTCTGAAAGAGCTACAATTACAGCAATCAATTATCCCCTATCATTCCATTAGATTAGATGACTGACAAAGGTAGGCAGCAAGAAAGGCAGAAACGCCCTTCCAGTTTTATCTGCACCACTACTTTTGTGCACCAGTGAAAAGGGAAGGTGAGTGACAGTACATTTTTGCAGGATAGTGACACAATAGCTTTCTGAACCTTGCTTAAGGCCTGAAAATTCTTCCATATTCTCCTTTTTCTTCCTGAACAGCCAAGGAAAATACTAAATCCATTGGGAGACAATCTTGAAAGTTTGTCCATATCTGTACCTCACAGCTGACCGAGTAGTACAAGGTTGACAAGAACAAACTGCTCATCTCAAAACTATATCTGCACAATGTAAAGAACACTTGGATAAAACCAAAATTCGGTAACAAACGTAACTGACATCAAAAGGAACTGGATACAGCCATATTCTCTTATTGCCAGGTGGAGAAGCAAACAAAACCTTTCAGAATGACAAGTCAGTGTAGCCTGAGAAAGAAAAGCACATTATTTTCAAATATAGATTGATTTCTAATGAAGAAAAATAATCTGCAAAGTGGTTCCAGAAAAAAAATCTTGTTTATCCTTAGGTGTTTTTTTTATAAAGCTCTTTGTTCTGAGGTTTACTAGTAACACAATCAAAACAACTAATTTATCATATAATTTCCCCTTCCCCGTTAACAGCAAAATGATGTACCTGCTCTTTACAGTAACCTGAGAACTAGTGGGTTGTTTAATATCATCTGCATATGTAGACCATGGCACATAAAAAAGTGAAGAGTCAGCATGGTTGGAACATTCAGAAGCTGGAGAAAATGAAGTACTGTATGTCTGACGCAAGTCTAAATTCTCTTCAGTCTGTATTTTAAATGCAAGAAGAAATAATTTCAAAATTGTTATTTCTTTCAGTGCACCATTGTCACACTTTGTTTCCTAAAATGAAACCATCTGATCATGACTGGTGCAAATATGCTGTCAGATACTGCAAATGGAAGAGAATTCAAATCAAATAATTATTTCCTGATTGTAATGGTCCATATTAACTCACCAATCTTCAGTTAATACAACTCTTACTTTAAAACTGTTTATTTATACCCACACTTCCAAGGACAATATTCCAATGTTTTACAAATTTTGATTTTGTTTTTCTCTTAAAAAGACATAAGAGTAAAATATAATTAGTTTTCAAATTACTTTCTGATAGTTGAATTTCTTTTGTAGAGATAATTTCCAGTTTAGCAAAAGGTTGCATAGTGGTAGAGACCATGAACTATTTGCTTAAAGCAATGGTGCACATCCGTGGAACACCAACTCTCAGAAGCTCTAGCCAGCTTGTTCAAAGGTCAGGAATTCTGGGATCTGAAGTCCAAAACACCTGGAGAGTCATAGATTGTATACCACTAGCCTAAAGTACATTACATAGCATTTTGGGTGACAGTTGGCCCTTCACATATGTGGATTGGATTAATATGCTCTCTCAAGGAATCTCTAGGTGTTAGGGTTCTATGCTTAGAACCTGTTATGCTTTTATACTCATTATGTCCTTATGCTTATGGTCCTGATATATATGTTGTGTACTCCATACTGGTTTAAGAGGACATTTTAATGGCTGTTATCAAGCCTGATGGCTTGCCTTCTACCGTCTTAGGCATAGCACAAACTGGACAACGTGAACATATTATTTAACCCAATGCTTTAGTTCTGGCCATCAATATTGTCTCCTATGCATATGCAAGGTTTTTACTAGGTAGAAATGTCCTGCTGGGTCCTTACATTATAGTATTTGGCTTAAGGAAGGTTATTTGGCTTAAGGAGACCCTCTATAGGAAAATTCTGCACCATGATGCTATGATGTAAAGACAGCAGGTCCTTCAGCATGATTCTGTGGTCAACTTCCACCATTGAGTTGTGCTGAAAAACATAGGGCACATCTATACTGTACAGTTAGTATAGATAATGTAGTCTGACTCCACTTTATCTGCCCAGCTGAATGTTTTGGAATCATGGGAGTTATGGTTTTTCAAGGTCTTTAGCTTTCCCTCCCAAAGAGAGCTGGTGCATCACCAAAGTACAACACCCATAATTCTACATCATTAAGCCATGGCAGTCAAAGTGGTCTTAAACAACATAAATTCTAGAATGTAGATGCACCCCTAGAACTTCCTGAAGAAAACCTTTCTCTAGGCCAGAGTTTCTCAAGCTATGCTCCCCAGATGTTATGAACTTCAGCTCCCACAATTCCAAATAGCTGGTAAGCTAGCTGGGATTTCTGGGAACTGAAGTCTAAAACAGCTGGAGGAGCAAAGTTTGAGAAACACTGCTCTAGGCATTCATAATTCCTCCAGTGTTGCTCTATGGTCAACATCTGGCAAAAGGTACAATGATACCATAGCTCTACTTGCTCCATTATGTAAGTAATATATAATATATAATAATAGTATTATATAATACTAATATTGTGCTATGGTAATAATATAATATGAGGGGTATTTTTTAAGTAAGGTCCGTTTTGTTGTAGACACTAGTAGTTCGCGTGCATACCGCAACGAGCGTGTGCGTCGTGTACCGGCATGCCTCGGGAACAACTATGCTCAGTTTCCGCTCTGTAGCTAACCTGTACGGTTCTGTTCTGTGCTTTAAAAATGTTTAAGACTATCAACTCACCCTCCGTATGTGAGGTTCGCTCAGTGATACGGTTTTTGTCAGCAAGGAATTTGCCTGCTACAGAAATTCATCAACAGATTTGTGAAGTGTACGGTGATACTGTTATGAGTGAAAGCAAAGTGCGTAAGTGGGTACGACAATTCAAAGATGGCTGTGACAACATCCATGATGAGGACTGCTCTGGTCACCCTTCTTTGATTACAGTGAACTCTTGGTTATCGGAGCAGGCGGCAAGTTTTTAGGAAGAGGGTATTTTAAAATTGGTTCAGAGGTATGATAAGTGTTTGAACAAAATTGGCAACTATGTTGAAAAATAGAGTAAAGTATGTACTTTCTGAAAATAAATTTACTTTTTTGAAATAAACTTTTGTTGTGTACTTATGTTCAAACGGCCCTTACTTAAAAAATACCCCTCGTATACTGTATTTACATATTACTTGTAAGCCGCTCTGAGTTCCCTTTGGGGTGAGAAGGGTGGCATATAAATGTCATAATATAAATAAGTTCTAACTATTACAACATGTGAGCATGCTAGAATTTTTATATGTCACTGATATGAGAACAATGGGTTTATTAAACCTGTGTTTTTTAAAGCTCTCCAAAAGTTAGGACACAAAGTGTGTTTCACCAAAACTGTATGATAATTTATAAAACAGATTGCAGAGCATTAAAATGTTAGTTCTCCTGAACCTTCATGTTTAAAAACATTACAAGTAACTTTAAAACTTTAATCAGAGGAGATTGAAAGGCTCTGTAGTCATGAAACTGCAATCACCACATACAGCCCTATTTCTTTATTTTTTCTAATGCTTAGTGTAATTATACATTTCTTTGATTCTAAGACTTTGTTGATGGTAAGACACTAATTTCACTGCCATCAACAGAAATACACACATATATATGCACCCACAATCTAAGATGCACCCAATTTTTAGAGATATATTATATATGGGATAAAAGTACATCTTAGAACTAAAGCAATACAGTATATATTGTGACAAGCATTATCAAATGGGGTTAGGAACTATGTGGTCCTCTGGAGGTCACCAGCTTGCAGTTCCAGCAGTCCTAGTCGGCACACTCTTGTGAAGAATGCTGGGGATTAGAGTTCCTGGTATCAGGAAAATTTTTAGTATTTGCTAAAATATTTTGTTTTTTCTACTATTGATGCCTTGTGAGGACTGGCATTCAACAGTTCTGGGTACTTTGGTAAACAATACAAACAACTGTAAAGTTTTCGCAGAAGCAATCTATCAGTGGAGTAATGGTCTATTCAAATAGGAGAAGAGATGTTCACATGATCATTTATCTCCCGGTATGAAAGCTCAAATAACTCTTACATCTATTTTTCTTCAAGTATGTTTTAAGTTCACATCTGTTGAATTCTCCTACAGCTTCTCTGTGAATTCACATGAGAACAAAACCTTAGTATAGAATAATGGTAAATAGAGGGGAGGCATTTTATGTAGGTTCATTTACAAATGTAGGTCATAAACTCAGTTTGTAGTAACTGTGTCAACAAACCAAAATGTGTTATTTTAGATCAGCCTCCCTCAACATGACACCTTTAAAGACGTCTCAAGGACATCAGACTGGGGAAGGCTGCTTTAGACATTGCCCTGGGATTGCATCCAATTTTCATCATATTTAGAATAGACTGAATAAAATCAATAGCATTTAGGTTAATAACAGCTAATGTGAGTTCCATTGATTTCAACAAATCTACTCTAAATGTAGCTAAATGAAGATGCAACCTATTATCGCTCTGACACAGAAATCATATGAGAACAGCTAATGCATTTCAAATCAAGTGTGTGTACTATAAAGTCAATATTATCAAATAAACCATATGATGGTTATGCACTGTGTCATTATGCTTACTCTCCATAGAAAAAAATAATAACTCTTATTTTTAAAAATCTGACTGAACCTGCAATTTGTAGCAATCATAGAAGGAGCTGCAACCTGTCATGATAATGTTATTGAACACATCCGTCAATCTTCCACTGGGCTCTGTACTATTCAAAAAGCGGCTGGTTCCTCTGAAAGTTACTTTAGGCTAAGACAAAACAATAAGAGTAGAAAGACAGAGTTAACTGCATCTAAACTGCATGCCTTAAAGTTAAACTTGTGTAGAGTTGCCTAAAGAGAAACAGAAATATATTACATTTTCAAGAGCTGGTTTATTGAGTGAAAAACTTGTATATTCTACAATAATGTTCATGAAAAACAGACTAAATATTACAGACTGGTCTTCACATCATCCAGACTGCACAAACTCTATGCAAGACCAGGTAAACAGTCGGAGAGGATTTCAGAGTGAAATGTCCTTTCAAAAATCCAACCTTTGTTCAAATAGTCTTATAATATCAGATTGCATAATAAGCCTCACAATGAAACACCCACTAAAAGACCAAATAAGGAAAGTGTAAGAAAACAGTTGGTTCAAAACAAGTACAGGCAGTCCCCGAGTTTACAAACATCTGACTTACAAACTATTCATAGTTAAGAATGGGGTAAGTCAACAGGAAGTGAGAGAAATATACCCCTAGGATGGGAAATTCACTCCAGAAAAGTTATCATGGGAGGGAAAACGTCTCCACTAAGCTTTCTCAAGAATCCATTTCCACAAGTCAAATTTTTCAAAATCCAACTATCACAGGGACAGAAAGTGAGGTGAAATCTTCTGATCAGGTGTACAGAGAGTAAAAGAAACCACAGAGGTGTTAACTCTTCCCTATGCTATCCAAAGATAGATAGATCGATCGATCGATAGATAGATAGATAGATATGAGGTTACCCTTTAAAATGTACCTGTTCCAACTTCCATACAAATTCAGCATAAGAACAAACCTACAGAATCTGTATTGTTTGTAACTTGGAGACTGCCCTCAGCCCTAGTTACAAACAGGGTGAAACAACAGAAAGTGGGATGAAATCTACCCCTTGGAAAGGAAATTCACTCCTGTAAGAGTTATTGTGAGGAAAAAGTGCCTCCACTGAAGCTTTCTCACTAATCCTTGTTTCCACAACAACCCAACATTTTCAAAATCCAGTTGTCACAGGGACAAAAAGTGAGATGAAATCTTCTGAACAGAGGTACAGACAGCAAAACAAATGTTACAAGGGGTTTTAATCCTTCCTTATGGTATTCAAACCTTTCAAAAATGGCTGGAGTTATACTTAAAATGTACCTGTTATGACTTATATACACATTCAAGAGAAGAATGAACCTACAGAACCTATTGTGTTTGTAACCCAGGGACTGCCTATACTTCTGATGAAGTAGACTGAATTTACAAAAGTGTATGCTACCAACTTCGTTCTATCTCAAAGATGCATACAACCAAGTAAAAGTCTAGTACTACAGGGATGCAAAACTAAAATAGTTACTAGTTACACCCTGCTTGCTCTAGTTTGCTTAGACTTTATAACCCATGAACCAGTGTGCTTTCTACTCTCTATATACCAGAGCTTTCCAAATGGTGTGTTGCAGCACATTAGTGTGTCGTCTGCTGTGTGTAGGTGTGCCACACAAATACAAAAAAACCTCTGAGTCTATGTGAAACAAGCAATAAAAAATAAAAACAGAAAATGAAAGATGTGTCCCCATAAATCCCATTATTACAATTTGTGTACGTTTCCATATGTCTTAGAAAGGGTTGCTTCAACCTCTGGTTTGCTAGTAAGACAGAATGACTGTGCCACAAAATGATGGGCCCATCCACACAGCTGTATAAAATGCCACATTGTCTGCTTTGAATTGGAATATATGGCAGTGTGGACTCAGAAAATCCAGTTCAAATAAAATACTGTGGATTATATGTCTTGATATTCTGGATTATATGGCTGTGTGGAAGGACTCTAGGTTATCTGAGGGTCCTTCCATACAGCGATATAACACATAATATCAAAACAGATAATCCACAATAACCGCTTTGAACTGGGTTATCTGAGGGCCCCTCCAAGCAACCATATAATCCAGAAAAACAAGGCAGATAATCCAGAATATCTGGTTTGAACTGGGTTGTCTGAGGGCCCTCCCACACAGCCATTAAACCCAGGATATCAATGCAGAAAGTCCCACAATATCTGCTTTAACCGGGGGCCCTTCCATACAGCTGAATCAAATCCTCCATTTTCTGCTTTGAACTGGAATATATGGCAGTGTGGACTCTCAGTTCAAAGCAGATATTGTGGGATTTTCTGCCTTGATATTCTGCGTTATATGGCTGTGTGGAAGGACCCCACGTCCACACTGCCATATAATCCAGTTCAATGTGGATGTTAAACAGCTGTGGGGATAGGGCCAGCATTTGTCTTAAAAGTGTGTTACCAACATGTTTGGAAAGCTCAGCAATATACTTTCCTCCTTCCTCATCTTTCAGCTCCCCTTTCCTTGTATCCTTTCTCCGAACAGCTGTTTTGCCCCATTCCCTTTTTCCATTCAGTGAAGGCACCAACTGCCTGAATAGCCCTGACCACCTTTCCCCCTCAAACTTCACCTTGGGAACATCTGGCCCTTTCACACTGAAGGTGAAGGGAGTGTGGAGTAGTAATCCAATGAAGCCCCTTCCACACAACTGTATAAAATCCCACAATATCTGCTTTGAACTGGGTTATCTGAGTCCACACTGCCATATAAGTGAAAATCTGTATGTTGTGTATGTGGCTGGTGTGTCCACTAACACAGACAAGCTCCTGCCTCCACAAACAGCTAAAGCTCCCACCAACCCTTTCCTATTCTTATCTATGGCCACTGGTGGGAGTTGTAGTTCACCCTGCATCCAGAGAGCATTGTGAACCCCACCAATGGCGGATCTGGATCAAACTTACCACACAGACCCAACACTTTCCAATACCCCAGGCATAGCTGGGTCCCCAAGCTAGAAATTTCCATAAAAGGGGAAAAATCATTTAAAAATGTAAATCAGCAACACCAGCAGCAGTTTTAAAATATTTTGTAAAAAAATTGTAAGTTGTTTACAACAAAGCCAACCAAGATACAGTAACATCTAGTCATTTTGCATTCGACGCTTTAAACATTGTCTTCAACATCACTTGTGTGTGTGTGTATGTATGTGTATATATTTTATATTATATTTTTATTGTATGCTATTGTTTTTAACAGAATTTTATGATGGTTTTACTTGTTATAATCAAATTCGAATTGCTGCCAATTTGTGAACAGTTCCGAGTCGCCTCTGGGCTGTGACGGGCGGTATATAAATATGGTAAATAAATCTATATAAATAAAAATGTAGTGTTTGTTTGTGGGATTAACACAACTCAAAAATCAATGGACAAACTGACACCAAATTGGGACACAATACACCTATTAACCCAAGGAGTGACCATCACTCAAAAAAATCACCAAAAGAACAGCGAAAAGAACTTTAAAATCCATAAAAGGTAGAAGATGACACAGTGGTTGTGCGCAAATGACTTCCCTAGCCCCACCCGCTCCTGTGCCAGGACACAGAAAGCGTGAAAGGCACCGCCACCAAGGAAAGAAGAAAAGACGGAGGGAAGTAAGGAGAGAAGGAGAGAGAGGGAGAGAAGGAAAGATGGAAGCAAAGAGCGAAGGAAGGAAGGAAAGAAAGAGGTAGAGAAGGATGAAAGGAGAAAAAGGGAAATAAAAAGGGAGGGGAAAGAGGTAGAGAAGGAAAAAAGGAAAGAAAAAAGGGACAGAAGGAAGGAAAGAGGGAGGGAAGGAAGGAGAGAAAGAGGTAGAAAAAAGATGGAAGCAATCAGTGAAGGAAGGAAAGTGGTAGAGAAAGAAGAAGAGAGAAAGTAGAAGGGAAAGAAAAAGTGAAGGAAGGAGAGAAGGAAGGAAGGTAGGAAGGAGAGAAAGAAAGGAGAGAAAGGGGTAGAGAAGAAAAGGGAAGGAAGGGAAGGAAGGAGAGAAATAAAGAAGGAAGGAAGGAAAGAGGTAGAGAAGAAAAAAGGAAGGATGAAAGCAAACAGCGAAGGAAGGAAGTAGAAGGGAAAGAAAAAGTGAAGGAGGGAGGGAGGGAGGGAGGGAGGGAGGGAAGGAAGGAAGGAAGGAAGGAAGGAAGGAAGGAAGGAAGGAGAGAAAGAAAGGAGAGAAAGAGGCAGAGAAGAAAAGGAAAGATGGAAGCAAACAGCGAATGAATGAAGGAAGGAAGGAAAGAGGTAGAGAAAGAAGAAAGGAGAGAAAGTAGAAGGGAAAGAAAAAGTGAAGGAAAGAGGAAGGGAAGGAAGGAAAAAAAGAAAGGAGAGAAAGAGGTAGAGAAGAAAAAAGGAAGGATGGAAGCAAACAATGAAGGAAGGAAGGAGGTAGAGAAAGAAAAGAGAGAAAGTGGAAGGGAAAGAAAAAGTGGAGAGAAAGAAAGAAGAGAAAGAGGTAGAGAAGGAAAAAGGAAGGATGTAAGCAAACAGCAAAGGAAGGAAAGAGGTAGAGAAAGAAAAGAGAGAAAGTAGAAGGGAAAGAAAAAGTGAAGGGAAGAGGGAGGGAAGGAAGGAGAGAAAGAAAGGAGAGAAAGAGGGAGGGAAGGTTGGTCACAGCAATGTGTGGTGGGTACAGCTTGTAATAAATAAATAAACTCAATTCAAAGCAGATAATGTGGGATTTCATACAGCTGTGTGGAAGGGGTCTGAGAGAGTCCTGGTCCTAACTAACCCACAATCCATTCCCTTTCCTGACCTGCCTCACAAGACTGCTGTGAGGATCATTAGACAGTGCCTCATTGAGGGGAAAGATGGCTCAGGAACTGAGCTAGCCCCACTTGAAGACCTCTTTCTCTTTTTCCCTCAGCCAGCTGTACCTGCCCGCCTGACACCCCCCTCCCGCCGTGTTTCCCTTTACCTGCCCTTATTCCTCCTCCTCCCTGGTTCCTTCCCCTGGTTCTCCCACCCCCCTCACCTCCATCCCTTTCCCTACACAGCTCTAAAGGTGCCTCTCACTCCCTCTCTTCAAGGGAAAGCACAGAGAGGCGTCGCAGGGTCCCCGCCATCACTGAGGGAGCCAAGGCTGGCTCTGACGGGAGGGGAGGGGCAGGACACACCAAGGCGGCCGTTACCAGGCTTGGCAGGGGGGAGGGGAGTGCCCCTCTCGCTCATGCCGCCCTATGATTGGACAGCGCTGTTCGCAAGGCAGCCAATGAGAACCGACGGTTTCCCCCCCCCATACTCTCAAGTCTCGAGACTACAAGAACATCTATTCTCCTCAGCGCGCCTCCATCCACGCCCATTGGACTGTCTTGACAAGGACGGGCCAATGGGAAACTCCTACCGCACTTTGTCTTGTGCCAATCAGGCTCGCGCACCCAATCGTAACCTCTCCTTTGCTCTTCTTCCCCGCCCACTCGTTTATAAGGGATGAGGCGACTCTGTTGGTTCCGCAGTTGGGCATCCCGCCTGCCGCCCAATCAGGTGTGGGAGAAGGGATTATTCCCCCGGTGATAGCAAAGGGGCGGTTGGAGTGGCTTCTCGAGCCTTTTCCCGCCCGAAAAATGAGACATCCCTAAACATGAGAGGAATAGAGAGCAAAGTGAAGGCTAAAATGAGAAAGGAATAAAAAATAATACAGAAACAAAAGCCTGGCAATCCTTTCAACACAAAGGAAAAAATATCTCTGACAATGCTGGAGGGGAAAATAAGGGTGGTTCTGAGGAGAATTTAGGCTCTACACATCTGTACAAAATCCACATTGGAACTGGGTTATATAGCAGTGTGGACTCCAATAATCCAGTTCAAAGCAGATTGGATTGTCTGCCTTGATATTCTGTGGCTGTGTGTAAGGGTCCCTATATAATCCAGTTTGGCCCCGGTGGCGCAGTGGGTTAAACCCCTGTGCCGGCAGGACTGAAGACCGACAGGTTGCAGATTCAAATCCGGGGAGAGACAGATGAGCTCCCTCTATCAGCTCCAGCTCCTCATGCGGGGACATGAGAGAAGCCTTCCACAAGGATGATAAAACATCAAATCATCTGGGGGTCCCCTGGGTGACATCCTTGCAGACGGCCAATTCTGTCACACCAGAAGCGACTTGCAGTTTCTCACGACAAAAAAAAAAATCCAGTTCAAAGCAGATAATATAATACTATTAATAATATATTATAATGTTTATTTTATTTATTTATCGTGTCAGGGGCAGACCAAACAGATGCATTGCATTTTATATTTATACGTTTTATATTACATGTAATATTACTAATAATATAATATAATGGTATAGTACAATATAGTAATATATAATACTGATATTGTACTATGCTAATCTATATAACTAAAAATGCAATGTTCGTTTGTGGGATTAACATAACTCAAAAACCACTGGACAAATTGCCACCAAACTTTGGACACAAGACACCTACTAACCCAAGGAGTGACCATCACTCAAAACAAATTGATTTTGTCATTTGGGAGTTGTAGTTGCTGGGATTTATAGTTCACCTACAATCAAAGAGCATTCTGAACTCCACCAATGATGGAATTGAACCAAACACGGCATACAGGACTTCCATGACCAACAGAACACACTGGAAGGGTTTGGTGGGCATTGACTTGAGTTTGGGAGTTGTAGTTCACCTACATCCAGAGAGCACTGTGGACTCAAACAATGATGGATCTGGACCAAACTTGACACAAATATTCCATATGCCCAAATATGAACACAGATGGAGTTTGGAGGAATAGACCTTGACATTTGGGATTTGTAGTTACTGGGATTTATAGTTCACTACAATTAAAGAGCATTCTGAAACCCACAAATGACAGAAATGGGGCAAACTTCCCACACAGAACCCCCATGACCAACAGAAAATACTTAAGGCCATCCAGTCCAACTCCCTTCACCAGGGCAAGAAAATGTAATCAAAGCCCTCCTGACAAAGAGCCACCCAGCCATAGATATAGATAGATAGATATGATTCACACACACAGAGAGATATAGTATCATAGATTTAAAAGGGACCCCTAAAGATGGACAATTATATGTTGCATGTTCCAGAGTAGGCAAACCAGACACTCTCCACATCAACACTGACAAAGAAACAGCAAGAAATACTGTTTACCCACAAAGCAGAAAGAAATTACATGTATTAGAAATCAACACTTTGTTATCACTTCATTTTCCAGATCACCAGACTGGGCCACAGTAATGCGTGGCTGGGGACGGCTAGTCTATATTAATAAGAATGTAATGTTCGTTTGTGGGATTAACGTAACTCAAAAACCACTGGGCAAATTGACACCAAATTTGGATACAATGCACCTATCAGGCCATCGAGTGACCATCACTCATAAAAACACTGAAAAACACAGTGGAAGAGACTTAAAAGGCAAAAAAAAAAACCCCATTACAACGCATGCGCAAAACCACACACACACACAAAGAAATTATTATTATTATTATTATTATTATTTGTACCCCACCACCATCTCCCCAAAGGGGACTAAAAGCGGCTAACATGAGGCCAATCCCAAAATTACAGTACAGCAAAATAAAATACAAAGAAGCAGAAAATACCATCAAAAATAAATACATGAAATAACAAAATAAAACAAACAATTACAAAATAACATGATAGAGAAATAGAACACAGTGGGTGGGCCAAATGCACTAGGATTTATTTATTTATCGTGTTATCAGCAACCATTGTATTACAATTCTAACAGAGCAAAACAAACACAGAGATTAAAAAGAGAAAAAGAAAAAAAACCCACAGATTTTGCAAATTTGGTATTTGGTTAAATGTCCTTTGGCCAGTATCTGGCCACTTGGAGTGCCTCTGGGGTTGCCGCAAGAAGGTCCTCCATCGTGCATGTGGCAGGGCTCAGGGTGCATTGCAGCAGGTGGTCAGTGGGTTGTTGGTTTGTTTGCACTAGGATAAAATTGATATGCACATATGCACAAATATATACACCACACAAAACACAGCTACACAGACTGCGCCACAGCAACACGTGGCAGGAGATGGCTAGTAATATAATATAATGTATGTATATATATATCTTGTAAGCCGCTCTGAATCCCCTTCGGGATGAGAAGGGCGTCATACAAATGTCGTAAATAAATAAGTAGTAGATGTAAGAAATTAAATAATACTCAGTTCTTGTGGGTTTTTTCGGGCTATATGGCCATGTTCTAGAGGCATTTCTCCTGACGTTTCGCCTGCATCTATGGCAAGCTCCTCAGAGGTCTGCTGGAACTGGGAAAAAGGGGTTTATATATCTGTGGAATGACCAGGGTGAGACAAAGGGCTTTTGTAAGTTGGGCTAGGTGTGAATCTTTTAACTGATCACCTTGATTAGCATACAATGGGCTGACTGTGCCTGGAGCAAACTCTTCTTGAAAGGTTATGTAGTATCTAACCCTTGCTGATTTGCTCTCGCTTTTGTAAACAGCTTCGCAAAAAAGAAAATGTGGGAATAAGGCAGGATCAGATCCCATATTTTTGCAGATCAATGGACCTAATAGTTGTGATGGCAAATACCCCTCAATTTTGTTCTGTAGGCTCTTCAGAAAATATAGCTATAGTTTTACAAAATGCCAAGGGTTTCATAGAGAAAAGAGAACGGATGGACTTGACCATATATGGGAGACAAAGACAGGCTTTTGGTGCCAAAGAGTTTTTTGTGAAGAGGTAAATTTTCGGTCAAGAGACATGCTGACTTTACAGAGAGGAACTAGCCAAGGCTAAATTAAGCTTGCCAGATTAGCAGATGTCCCCAGCTGTATTTTGCATATCAGCATCTTGTGATGTTTCCAAAAAGAGCTTGCTTATTGAGAAACGAAACCTAAAAAGTGTATGATCTAATTGCTTAACGTATATATAATATTGACAGCTCTTTTAACCAATGATTTAATCTTTGGGGCGGCCCGTAAGGCCGAACCCCTTTTGATATATAAAATAACTCGAACCCATTGTGCTGGGTGGCTTTCCCGAGAGACGCCTTGTTGCGTCGAAAGCCAACTAGCAGCTGCTATAATAAACTTTGATATTCTTGCTGAACTCAGTTGGCTGTCTTTCCTGACTCATCTGCGCCTGCAATACGGACTCGGTTTGGAAATTTTGGCTGAGCCTTTGAGCAATTGCTCAGGGGAAGAAAAGCCTGCTTCATTTTTGGAGGTTCCACCGAGATTTATTCAGACAGGCCGAGAGTCCGGGGAGACAGATCTTGTTGGCAAGACGATTTTTGATCAGCATCGGGGGCGCGAGAGGCGATTGCCGTGAGCCGAGACAAAGGGGGCCCCCGACTGATAACCGGCTGCGACACTCCCCTCTTCTGTCAGTGCCGCTTGATCAAGGAAAATCGCAACTCTTCGGGTTCTCAAGAAATCAACTGGGAGTGGAGGAGTGATAGAAAGGATCCAGGAGGAGGAAAAGTCCGGGGGCGAAGGTTGTTCCGACGTCTACAGCAATCCGGCAAGTATAAGTGGTCAAGTAAAGACACTAGGTAACACACACACCAGCGCTGGGGGAAAGGGGGACCACTAAGTATCCCGTGGGGTAGTGGGAGGACGGGGCAAACCTTGCGGTTCCTAAAACGTGCCGTCGAGTGTCCGGGCGTCTAGGCCAAGGTTTGCTCCCCACTAGAGGCCATGGGTGGGAGGAACTCAAAGGCAGTGACTCCGCTTCAGTGTATGCTAGACAACTTTGATAAGTTTGTAGCTGCATCGAGTCAGGAAGATCCAGGAGATCTTAAGGACCACAGATTAAGGAATCTGTGCACAGGAGAATGGCCCACCTTTCCTTTTGGGTGGCCTGCAGAAGGGTCATGGGACCTAAAGAAGATTAGGCAGGTAGAAAAATTTTGTGCTCACCATCATCCGAATCAATATATTTATATTGATGCCTGGGACAACGTGGTGACCCAAAATCCTGATTGGGTCCAGAAGTGTAAAGAAGGTCAGTGTATGATGATAAGGAAGAAAGGAAGGAAAGTCAAGGTTAAAGTCCTTGCCCAGGAAGAAGAGCCGGTGGAGGAATGTAGTTACCGGGGGCAGCGATATGCAACTCCCAAT